GAAGTGATTGCCAGTCCTCCCAAGAATCTTCAAACACTGGCATATTCTTCCAGTGCACCAAAACTCCAGTTCCTCCTGTTGAGTTGATCCTGTTATCCCTCACAATTTCTGGTTCTACTTGTAACTCCCATTCTTCAGTTAGACATTTAGGTAGTGGCTGCACTTGAGTAGAAGTAGGTACTGCTTTCTTCAGTAAGGACACATGAAACACAGGATGCACCTTACACTCTTCAGGCAATTTCAATCTGTAAGCTACAGAATTAATCTCCTCAACCACCTCAAAAGGTCCATAGAATCTAGGGCTCAACTTTTGATTCATCCTTTTGGCTAGGGTTTTGAGTTTGTAGGGTTGAATCTTCAAGTACACCCAATCTCCAACCACCAACTGAACCTCCCTTCTTTTCTTATCAGCCTGTTGCTTCATCTGATTCTGTGCAATGACCAGATTACTCTTCAATTCATCTATCAAGACATTTCTCTCAGCTGTCATCCTACTCACCTCTTCCACTGCTGTAAGAGTGACATCTCCTCTAATCAATACATGTGGATCCTGCCCATACAAAATTTTATAAGGGGTATTCTTGGTAGATACATGGTAATTTGTATTGTACCAAAACTCAGCCCAAGGTAACCACTGAGGCCATTGCTTTGGTTTCTTCCCAGTCATACATCTTAGATAAGTCTCTATACACCTGTTCACAACCTCAATCTGCCCATCTGTCTGAGGATGATAGGTTGTACTATATTTCAATGTTGTCCCTGTCTGAAACGGAAAGCCATGTAGTTTAACAACCTTCTTAATGAATACCTCTTCCACACTTTTAGCATTGTAAGGATGAGATAATGTTATAAAGTGTGCAAATTTGGTCTGTCTATCCACCACCACAAAAATAGTGTCTTTCCCTTGAGCTTTTGGTAACCCCCCAATGAAATCCATGCTCAGATCAGTCCAAATTTGATTAGGAATGGGTAAAGGTTGCAATAATCCTTCTGGACTTAAAGTCTGATACTTATTTCTTTGGCACACCTCACATTGCTGTACATAATTCTTTATATCTGTCCTCATTCCCTCCCAATAGAATAAATTAGATATCCTCTTCATAGTCTTGAAGTTTCCAGCATGTCCCCCAACATCAGACTCATGGAATTCTTTGAGAATAGCATCAATTCTCACAGAATTCCTGGGAATCACTGGTCTTTCTTTGAAATAAAGAAGTCCTTGTTTGATTTTGAAATGAGGAATAGAATATGGTTTTGCTACAGTTTCTGCAACATGCTTTTGTACTTCTCATCCTCCATCAGTTCATTTTCTAGTCCTTCCCATTCTTGACAAGTGACAACAGATAAAGAGTAAAATTGACCCTTCCTCGATAAGGCATCCGCAGCTTTGTTTTCTACTCCCGGTTTGTACTTGATGACAAAATTGAACCCCAGCAACTTGGTTACCCACTTCTGTTGATCTTCCCCCAAAATTCTCTGCTCTGTCAAAAATCTCAGACTCTTCTGATCAGTATGAACTTCAAATCTTCTCCCTAACAGATATGGCCTCCATTTTTGTATGGCTAAAACAATAGCCATGAGTTCCCTTTCATACACAGATTTATTTTGGTTTCTTTTGGATAAGGCTTTGCTCATATAAGCTATGGGTCTTCCCTCCTGCATAAGCACATCCCCCAAGCCTTTTCCAGATGCATCTGACTCAATTACAAAAGTTTGGTTGAAATCTGGCACCTTCAACACTGGTAACTGAGTCATTCTTTGTTTTAGTTCATCAAAAGCCTTCTGAGCTTCAGAATTCCACTTGAATCCATCCTTCTTGAGAAGATCAGTTAAAGGAGATGCTATTCTACTATAATTTTTGACAAATTTTCTACAGTAGCCTGTAAGGCCCAAAAAGCCTCTTAGCCCTTTAGCATCAGTGGGGTATTTCCAGTCTAACATGTCTGCAATTTTACTAGGGTCAGCTGCCACTCCCTCTTTATATATGATGTGTCCTAAATAGGCTAACTGCTTCTTCCCAAAGGAACATTTCTTCTCATTCACCACTAACTGATTGTCTTGCAGCAGTTGTAACACCTTTTTTACATGCTCCCAATGCTCTTCTTCATTACTGGTATATATCAAAATGTCATAAAAAAAACCAATACAAACTTTCTGAGGTAAGGTTTTAGGACTTTGTTCATTAAAGCTTGAAAAGTGGAGGGTGCATTAGTGAGTCCAAATGGCATGACTAGGTACTCATAATGACCCTCATGAGTTCTAATAGCTGTTTTATGAACATCCTCTTCTCTCATTCTGATTTGATGATAACCTGATTTCAGGTCAAGCTTAGAAAAAATCTGTGCACTGCTTAGTTCATCCAACAACTCTTCTATGACTGGGATTGGAAATTTATCAGGTATTGTTATTCTATTCAAGGTTCTGTAATCTCCACAAAACCTCCATACCCCATCTTTCTTCTTGACCATAAGCACTGGACTGCTGTAAGGGCTGGTACTGGGCTGTATGATTCCCCCATTTAGTAATTCTTGAATTACTTTCTCCATTTCATTCTTCAAATACTGTGGATATCTATAAGGTCTGATGTTAGGTATGGTTGACCCTTCCTTAATGTTAATAGCATGGTCACAGTCCCTTTTTGGAGGTAATTCATCTAGGGACTTGAATACTACAGGAAACTCTGCCTTGCATTCCCTGACCCAAACTTCTCCCTTCATCTCAGCTGGGTACACACAATATCCTTTTTCTTGTTTGTGCAATGCTTTTACTAAACTTTTCAGAGATGCTTCAGTTCTACTCAGATGAGGATCCCCCTTCAATTTCCTATACTGACCATCTTCCACCCATTTGATAGATAATTGATGGAAATTGAACTCCACCTTTCCCAGTCCAGACAACCATTCCATGCCGAACACCATTTCAGTCCCTCCTAACTCCAAAGTGTAAAAATCTTGGGTAATAATAATCTGTTGTACCTTAACAGATAAGGCCTCACATCTTCCATCATTTCTAAATTGATCTCCATTCCCTATTTCCACCTTGAATTCAGGAATGTGGAGAATAGGAATCCCCACTTCTTGTACCACCCTGGAAGATATAAAGTTGTGAGTAGCCCCACAATCAATCAATATAATTACCTCCTTGCTTCCTCTATGGCCCTGTATTTCTCCCCTGAGCTTGAAAGTTCTTGGAGTGGTCATTCCTTCTTTACTCATTACTGATAATTGCATGCTGGCCAGATTAGTCTCATCAACCATTGCAATAGGTTCCACTTGATTCTCTTCTAACTCTTCCTCCTCTTCAGAATCATCTATCATGATGATCTGAAAGTGTTTCATCTTGCGTATATGACCTTTACCCCACTGCTCTCCACATTTAAAACAAAGGCCCTTCCTACTCAACTCCTTTAATTCAGATTGAGACAATCTTTGTGTTCCCCTTACTGCAGCACCTTTATTGCTTACATCATTGTTCTTCTCCATGGCAGACTTATCTAAATTAGTCTGGTTACCCAAACTACTCTTCCACTTGTTCTCATTTAATCATCTATGAGAGTTTGTCGAGACATTCACCCTCTCCTTCAATCCTCTTTTATCATCCTCCCTGTACCTGCTCATATTCAAAGTTTGGTTCCTTTCTTCTACCATTAAAGCCTTATCCATTAACTCCGCAAGAGTTCTAGCAGGATTCAGCTTCAATTCAGCTCTTATTTCAGGCTTCAACCCCTTCATAAACATTCCCTTGAGAATCTTCACATCAGTATGTATCAAAGGAGCTACAATCAGTTCAAATTGCTCCCTATAGTCCATCACACTACCTGTTTGTGTTATACTCAACAAAGGACCATACGGATCCTGTAACAATCCAGGTTGAAATCTACGAATCAAATCATCTTTAAACTGTTCCCAACTTCTCACATTAGCATGTTTCTCCCACCATTGCAACCAGTTTAAAGCCTTTTCTTCCATAGCAAGAGTAATCAATTCAACTTTATCCTCTGCTGCTATACGATTCATTTTAAAAAAACGTTCCACTTTAATAGTCCATCCGTAAGCATCATGACCATTGAACAGTGGTAAATCTACTTTCCTTCCCGATTTCTTAATCCACTTATTGTAATCATCCTCGCGCCTAGAAGATGAGAAGCGATGATTACCTTCAGATGAATAGGATTCACGACTATCATTCCTCGTGCTTCTCCTGATCGTTTTTGATCTTCCACGTGAATCGCGATCATTCCGCTGCAAAATTAGCTCGCGCAATTCTTCGCTGTCACGTTTTGCTTCCTCGTGACTTTTCTCCAGCTCGCGCTCCAGATTTTCCAGCCTTGCTTCCATCGTTCCCTTGTAGCAACCATGTACAGGTAGCAGAATCGTTGCTCTGATACCAATGTTAGGGATCCGCTGCTAACACAGTAACTTCAAGCAACAAAAATGGTAGCGAGAGAGAGATGAACAGTAACAGAGAGGTCGTTATTAACAAACAAGAGAGAGAAAGTAGTCCGGCAGTTTAAAGAGAGCCACTCTCCAAGTCCCAGCCCAAAAGAGACAATACCAACCTCCCTCTTTATTACAATAGCTATCTATTTATAGTATTTTCCCCCAGCCTTCTATAAGTACATATCTATTTAATATTCCTCTTCCTCCTTCTAGAGTACACTTGTTTATAATAGTCAACACTAGTATTAGTAATGGGCTGACTCCCTGTGTCTCTATCATTTTTACTGGTATGAAATGAGCTTTTTACTTTATACGATAGTATTTGTTACTGTTGAAAATATCTGATTCAGCTATCATGCCTTCTATATTGGCTTTATAATGCATGATTTGTTTGAGATTTATTGAAAATCTGGTGTAGGTAACTTCACATTTTATTACTATATGCGACAATAATTCATATGATGAATTCCATTTCTTCTACTAATTTAATTCTTACAGTTTAATAGTGCCTTAATTTGATTCCTTTTTATTTTTCTTCATTGTTTGTCTGTGGTGGTTCAGATTCTACGGTGCTTGCTTATGTCTTGTCAGAGCTGAATCAAAGGCATAACTATGGACTTGAACTCTTCCTTTTATCTGTGGATGAAGGCATCACTGGATACCGAGATGATTCTCTTAAAACTGTTAAAAGAAATGAAATTCAGGTGCATTTGACATTGCTTTTTTATAAAAAGCTTTTTATGACCTTTGAACCTGTGCTGGTGTGAAATTTTGTGTTCAACTGTTCTAGTATTCATTCATACTTTTTAATTGTTATGGATCTTATTGTTTGTATTTGCTAGTATGGACTTCCACTAAAAGTCATTTCCTATAACGAGTTGTATGGGTGGACAATGGATGAAATAGTAAAGTTGATAGGTCTGAAGAACAACTGCACTTTTTGTGGTGTTTTTCGTCGCCAGGTAAAAAATAATTTTATTGCTACTTCTTGATCGGAAGTTATATTTGGAAGTTATATCTTTGCTTCATTTTCTCTACACTATGGATGCACAAATGGAGGGTGTTGTGGTAGGCGCGTGATGACCAACAGTATCACTTAGTCACATCACATGACATGAATCGAAATATAAATGTGGTTTTGCCAAGTCAGATTTTTGGCATCGATATCATAGATCGATTCATGTTAGCCGACCCTAAATTCTTTTGGGATTAAGTCTTGGATGTTGTTGTTGTGGATGTTGTTATGGATGCACAAATGGTAGGGAAATTACCCAAAATAGGAGCAAATGACATTTGGAATTCCAAAAATAGAACTATGATGTTTTTCTTCCCGAAATAGGAGTTATTACTGTCATGTATGAAAAATACTGCCATGATTGAAAAATACTGTCATTAATTATAATAAATACTGTCATGTTAAATGCACTGTACTGCAACTATTTGGCAGTCACGGCTACGAGATGAAAAGATGACAGTAAATACTGTCATGTTAGTCCCATTTCAGGAATAAAAACAAAGTAGTCCTATTTTGGAATTTCAAACTTCATTTACTCCTATTTTCACAATTCAAATATTCGGATCTTAATACCCCATCCGTCCCGCTAAGATTGTCTAATCTTTCCTTTTCTGTCCATCACACTAAGATTGTCACATGGAATTTGGTGAAGTTTGTGTTTTTCTAAATCATTCTTACTTTATCAACTCAATATCAACCACATAAACTCACTTTTCTTAATAACCACACCACGTCCTCATGTCCCAATGTTAGTTGGATGGAGGTAGTATGTGTTTTGGTTGAATAGGTTGACAATGAGAAAAAGCACTCCACGTGTTAGTTTTTTTTTGGCTGGAATGGTTGAAATAGAAGAAAATGACACTTCTTCCTTCGCATAAGATATTATTTTCTTTTATTGATGTAAAAAGTATCACCTAGTCATGATATCATTTTTTTGGTGTCATGCCTGTCCCAAGCCATGTTGTTGTTGTTGATGTAAAAAGTATATTGTAAGTAATCTTTTAGATACCAGAAAAATTCCAGCATCACATTGCAAGCACTTTGAACAAATTCTGCCACATAAATCATTTTAGGACTTTTCTTTAGATACCTTTCTGAAAGTAAGAATGTGGAAAGTTGCTCCACAGTAATTAATCATAGAAGTATAAACTATAAAGTTGGGAAATAATAATAAATGCTGTTATCAAGTAGTTGTGTTTTTTTTAAACAAGGAAGGCCCTTGACCGAGGTGCTGTTTTACTGAAAGTGGACAAGTTAGTAACTGGGCATAATGCTGATGATATAGCAGAAACAGTCCTTTTGAACATTTTGCGTGGGGATATTGCCAGGTAACCATTTCTTTTGTAGGTTATGCATGACCTACTATTTCTTCCCCTCTTTTATTTGTGAAGATTTAGTTAATACGGTCAAATATTCCTAAAAATGCACTAGGCTGAGTAGATGTACATCTGTAATTACTGGGGAAGATGGACCGATTCCAAGATGCAAGCCTTTCAAGTACACCTACGAGAAGGAAATTGTTATATATCCTTCAATTCATACATTTTTGCTTCAGAATATATCCTTTATTGATATTTTTGTTTTTGAATACCTCTTCATTTCTTGTAAACCTTGTAGGATCGATTCACCTTTGTGAACAAACTTCACAATGGGACACCCATCCTTGGGCTCTTTGACCTCAGGCTCGCATAATTACTGTGATTAAGTAGTAGCCATACCCTTCTTAAAACCAATTGGTGATAAAGTGGTGAACACCCTATATTTAACACATTACTCTATAGTTCCCAAGTCAAGGTAGATTTCTTTGGGGCACCCCCACAGTTTACTATTGAGTGGTGGATAGACATTAGGGGCTGCACCACATCGTGGTGCCAGTAGGTCGGGTCTAATCAAAGAGTTAGGCCCCGAATCAAAGGGTGGTGTTTATCCCTCCATAAGACCAACAAACCTCTAAAGTAAATTCCTTATTCTCTTCATTACATTATTATTAATGGCATTTCCTTAACTTATCGAGTACGTATGCTTACTTTAAAAAGTTGGATTACTTCTCCACTGAATGTAAGTCTAAACCACATCTATTTGGTGTGTGTTAAAATAATATTTTTAGATTCCGCTTTATATTTATAGTTGGGTTTTATTCTACTAGTTTTTCATCTTGTTCATTGTTATGTTATAATATTATGATTACAACTTGTTTGTGCGGTTCAGGTATTTACTCTCCGAATGCATACCGTGGCTTTGCTCGCGAGTTCATCAAGGATTTAGAGAGAATCAGGTTAAAATTCACGTTGGCTTTCTATAAGCTGTCTTTCCTTGCTGAAAATGTTCTTTTTCAGTCCTGTCATACGGCATACCTATACTATGTCTATATGGTCCAATTACAGGCCACAGGGCATACTGGATATTATAAAATCTGGCGAGGGCTTTCGGATCTCAACATCCACAAAAATGCCAGAACTAGGAAATTGTGAGCGGTGTGGTTATATTTCAAGCCAGGTGAAAAGAAGATGATTTTACATGTATTATCCTGCCTATTTTCTAGGGGTTAATGGAATAGGACACAGTCTGTTCTTTTATGGGCTAATAAATCCTCTCTCAAAAATCAAAATTGTTTGCTCTTTTATGGCTAATAAGAGGCGGTTAATAATGGTTGTTTGTGTGAAACAGCTGAATTCACTAAATTATCTGAATGATAGAGCTTTTAGCAGCTGACCCCAAATTCTTTTGAGACCAAGACTTGGGATGTTGTTGTTGTATAGAGCTTTTAGTAACATCTATTCCAGCCACTAAAAAAGCTAGTATTCTGATTCTAAGAAAAATAACCTGGATCATTCTACCAAACTGGCTTTATTCTTTTGGTATCAGTTTTTGCTTTTTTGGAAATCACAAACAAGATTCTGAAAACCATAAAAAGTTGTATCCGTTTTTTGTTGGCAATTTTCAAATTTAACATGTTTAGTATGATTCAGATTATATTTATGCTCATTATACAACATATATGATGCACCTTTTGATGTCATAAAAGAAATTCAAAAACTGTTAGTGATCCAAATGAGCCCTTGTTTATTTTGCTGAAGTAGATGGTATAATTCCTCAGAAAACATCAGTAACACTTACCGAATGGACCCTTAAACTTCTGTTCCTAAATTTTGCAGAAATGGTGCAAAGCGTGTGTTTTGCTGGACGGGCTAAACCGGGGCTTACCCAAGCTGGGAATTGGCCGTAGTCGATGACAAAGCAATACCGAGAACGCATATCAAGAAAACGGGACCACAAATTTGCATAGAAAACAATGTGGTGGTACTTTGAAATTCTAATACCAAAGGTTTTGCTCGGTATTTATTTATCATTTCTATAATCAACATAATTTCGTCATTTCGACAAACTCTTCATATATACTCCTACCATGTAAAGTAAGTAGTTGCACAGAAAATGTGCTACTACTCGATAAACTCTGGGGGGGGGGGGGGGGGGGGGGGGTATCAGAGGACAAACTTCAACTGTATACTTGTTATTTGTATCTACATTGTGAACTATTTGTTCAACGGTGGCTTCACCCCCCATGCTGGATCCTGTCATCCTATATGAACAGGTTGAAAAGCTTGGACAAGTTATCCTCCTTATCATGTACTCGTGTTTATGGCAGTGCATGTAGCAGCAGCGGCCTGTAATATAAAAGTAATCAAGTAATTTTGAAACCCAAATAATGTAATGTAATCTCAGAATGCCTTTTTTTGGTAATCATGCAAGTATGCAAGTCCAACCATACAAGTATACAACTATACAAGTTCAATATTAGCTTCCAAGAGAATTTCAGATAATTAGAACCAAACACCTTTTAAGTGACCCGTTACCCATACCTTCATAGCAAGCTGCTTCATCGTGTGTTCTGTGCTGTGAATTCCTTCATCCTACTCAAAACAGCGCTGTCAATGGTGTATCTGATGCATTGCTGTCTTCCTTTCATATATATTCATTTTTATCCCCTTGATCCAAAATTTCAAATATAGATATGCATATACAGTGTTTGTGACAAAAATATCCAAATTTAATATACAGTGCTCTAATGCCCTATGGCTATGTTTGGTTTGACGTAATGCAATGAAATGGAATGTAGTGCGTAATCTATCTATATACAAAAAGAAGTGGAAGTTTTGACCAATTTCCTGCTCAAAAATGTCCTATCAAGAAATGTGATTCACGAAATTTTTTAAAATAAAGATAAAAAAAGAATAGAGGAGCCCATTCCTGAATATACAACTGTTATTCAACTCATCTGCGTTGAAAAGCATCGAGTAAAGCAAATGTTGCATGTTGGAAGCTCACATATCCAGGTAATCCAACCAAGGGTTAAACAAGTGAACTAATAGCTTCGGCTTCGCGTGATGAGAAAGGTGTCGGTCCATTGTCCAACCTTCGTTATTGTCTATTTTCTACGAAGTATTCATTGTATAGAGTAGTAGGTCAGAAAAAAATTAAAAAATGATAGTATTTGTTTCAATTGAAAGCATACCAGATGCTTCCTACTAGGAGTGGACTCCGGCCGGGCCAACCGGACCGGCCCGCTACTGTGCGGGCTCGGACTGGCCCAGTGAACCGGTTGGTGCCCGGTTCGGGCCACCCGGCTCGGTGAGGTAGGTGGTTCGGGCCCGGGCCTGCTAAATAGTGAACCGGCCCGACCAGTTCGGGCCCGGTCCGGGCCAATTTATTTATTTTTTCTTTTTTTGATTTTTTTAAAGTTTTGGGTTGGGTTGAGTATGATGGGCCATTTGAGGTGGTTTGGGGTGGTTTGGGGGTGAGGGGGGAGGTTTGGGGGTTAATTAGGAAAAGCCAAAAAAAAAAATACATGAACCAAGGCCCGGCCCGGCCGGACCCGGGGGTTACCCGGGCCGGTTCCGGGCCTTCCCTTTCATGAACCGAGGCCCAGACCCGAACCGGGCCCGAACCGGAACCGGTCCACCCCTACTTCCGACGGAGGACCGCCAACATCTCGGTGTTGGCTACTTGGCTGCCCTTTCAGCATCCATCACACCTGGGATCGAGATAGCAATTGGCTAAGGATATTTGGCAAGGATAACTAGCAACAACATGTTCATCAATTGGCGTCGGCGAGTGGCGATGTGCCACATCTGTGACCAAATCCAGTTGTGGCGAAGATTGTGCGTTCAATAACGAGTAGACGTAGACTGTGTCCCCAACACCGGCAGAACTTGTTTCGGTTTTTCGCTGCCCAACCTTAAACAACAGCAGAAGGTTATTCAGATTTCAGCTGGTCAGAAGTGGCCCTTTCCCCCGGGAAGTATTTCAGCAATATTGGCAACACGCAAAATAGTTGAGCGAGTTAGTAAGAATCGGCATATCAGATCTAGGTTCACTCAGCTTCATGTCTCAAAAATTTGGTGCTCTAAACGGGGAAGTTCGAGGGGAGAATTTTCGGCAACACGCAAAATAGTTGAGCGAGTTAGTAAGAATCAGCATATCAGATCTAGTGGAGCAATTTGGTGCTCCAAAATGCGGTAAATGTGGTCCTTTTGAGGGGTGAAATATACAATGTGAACGAGAGTACATTTCACCACTTAAAGGACCGCATTAACAACCATTTTGGACAATTGAGGAGTGACATTTACAATCTCAGAAATACTGGTCTGAGATTTTAATTTCGTGGATAACTGAGGGACCATATATGCGATTTTCCCCTGAAATTATAATTGCAGTATTGTTGATTGCAATGTTATTTTCGTTACTAAAATTAAAAATGAATCTTATCCGATATTGATCTTATTTGCTAAGCAAGTTTTGTGTATGTGTTTACAACCAATCTAAAATTATCATATTTTTGAATTTGAAACTGCTATTCTACATGTTTCTAACCAGCTTATTTCATTGTCTGGCAAGCTTATTCATTCGAATTTACTACGAATGAGATGTGATGAAACGACTGATGATCGTACACATTCGAGCCTGTTGTATTCTTTTTGGATAGTGAACCAGCTTGCATAAGCTAATGATTCGCATGTATGCAATGTAATTTTATTAGTGCATAACGAGGCACTCTGATTTTTTGCTTTTAGTCAACTTTACTTCTCAAATATTACGTATTTTTCTTTATAAAATATACTATGCACTGCATATACAATAACAAGTTTTATAAAAAACTACTACGTACATTTTTTAATGGGTTCTCCCCGTATGACTGAAAAATTCTTCTCTAATTTTTGCAACTTTGAACTTCCCCTCGAATTCAGAAGCGATATGCAAGTAATTGGTTTTGTTGGGGAATTGGGGCCTTTTCTTGAAGATGTTATATCAATTCAATCAGATTCAATTTTCTGGTCATTTGAATCTATTCAATTGGTTTTGGTAATTTCCTTTTTGTTCATGTAGTTTTTGCAATTGCTTTACATTGCTGACAACTTTTATTTTCAGTAATGTGATGCAAGGAGTGCTCGATGGCAATGTTTGGTTCGTGCGGTTGAGCAAAAATCGGGAATGAAGATGAAGTGAACTCAGAAAATGAAGATGATGAAGAGTTACAACAAGGGCGTGTTCTGTTGAGGAATCTGGTAACAAAAGAAAGAGCTGGTGGCAGAGGTAATGGGAAGAAATCGGATAAAACAAACATAGTTGAAGAAGAGTTCAATGAGGAGGAAGATGGCAATGAAACTAAATATTTCAGTTCAAGTGATGAAGGGAGTTACAAATCCGGATCAGATGCTGAAGAACAAGGGGGTGTGAGAACAAAATCTAGACTCCCAAGTTTCATAGCAATTGAAAAGGTTGAGTTCACATTGGGAATGAGCTTTCAGTTCAAGGAAGAAGTTAAAGATGCAATGGATAAATATTCTGTGAGTAACATGTATCCCTATTATTGGGCTAAAAATTGCTCAGACATGCTTAGGGCTAAGTGTTCAAATTTGAACAAAACATGTACTTGGATGGTCTACTTTGGGATAGACAATAGAAGCATCAGCAAGAAGTGGGTCCTAAAAACTTATAGCAGTGAACACACTTGCAACCTAAACTGGCAAATACCTAGTGCCACAGCCAAATGGTTAGTAAAGAATTTTTTTCTCCTCTAAGCCTGGTTAGCTGACATGAAGGTGGCTTCAATGAAAGAAATGGTTAAGAAAGAGCTGAATCGTGATGTTTCTCTCGAGCAAATGAGGAAGGCTAAATCAATGATCAGAAAACTCGAAAAGGGAGACATAAAGGCTGAGTACAAAAACTTGGATGATTATAAGGCTGAAATTCTAAGGTCAAACCAAGGGAATACCTGCATCCTCACTATGTTGCAGCCTAGCCCTATATTTGAAACGTTTTATGTGTGCTTCCATGTCTGCAAAAAGGGGTTCCTAGAGGGGTGCAGGAGACTCATAGGAATAGATGGAGCATTCTTGAAGTCTGAGGTGAAGGGTGAAATTCTCCCCGCGGTTGGAAAGGACGCAAACAATCAAATGCTCCCAATAGCGTGGGCTGTTGTTGGTTCGGAGGCCAAAGCCAGTTGGAAGTGGTTTTTGGAAAACTTAAGAGATGATCTACGCATTGGAAGAGCGAGTGGATGGGATTTTGTTTCAGATCAACAAAAGGTGATGATGACTTTAAATTTTTTGGCAATTTGTCTATCATTTAGCCAATATCTTAATATTTAATAATTTACATTTCATTACTGGGTTTAATGCCAGCATTATATGAGACTTTACCTGAGGTTGAACACAGAAGATGCAACACCCCAAAAATCGGCCTAGCTGTTATGCTATAAAAAATTCTTTATAACAATATTCTTAAATTATAATATAGAAATAAAAGCAAACTAGTATGTTTATAAAAACGATTGATGGAGTATATGAGTCTAAGCCTCAGGACCCACATACTCAGAAGAACAGGGAGTACAAGCCGCTGAGTGGAGCCCTCGTCGGCCAAAGGACCCCCGTCGGCCAAAGAGGGATCAACTCAGAATATGATCCTGAAGCCAGGGAACTAGGGTGACCTCATCGGCCGTGCCCTCATCGGCCGTGCCCTCGTCGGCCAGACCCTCGTCGGCCACGGAAGCCTCACAGAACTAGATTTTACACTTAATCATTCCTACACACATTGTATTCGGCCCAATAGCGGTCCAGTTGTAAATGGGCCTCCCAAGCCCAAGGCTTGGGAGCCCAGCCCGTATTTTTCCTATAAATACTTCCTCTGGAGGTAGTTGTAGGGGTTACAAAATCATTCTATTGAAGCATTTACTTGCACTTCTCTCTCTAGCTCTCACTTCTCTCTAGATATATACTCTATCATTTGGTGCTTTCATTGAGAGCTAGAACAATCAAGTTAGCACCCTTCGTCGCTACCAAGCACAGCTAACCACTGATCATGGGAAGATCCAAGTCAAACCGCAACCTCATCAGCAAGGCCATCCCTGAGGATCAGGAGACCAGG